TTTGAGTATTTGGACTTTGTGAGGGGGTGAAAAATTACGATACCGTCACTTAAATTTTCTGAGTCGATTCCGTAATCGGTGAGCGAACTTTGAGTTCCGTAATTTTTACTGAACATTTCTCTCCAGATAAAAAGAGAGAACAAAGAGGGAGGGATAAAATCATAAAATTTCAGATTTCACTGAAAATTCAATGTAATTTGGCGGTGAATATTCATGTTAGATAGTTTGACTCAACCATTCAACTGTTTGTCGGTTATTTTAATAATTACAAATGTTGCGTCAAGCCTGCGTTGCGTTCATTGTGGAATCCCCTTCAAGGATAAAACTCTTGGGATAAGAATTCCTCACAATGAGTCAGAATGAGTAAGAATCCTTTCCAATGTTCATGACTTAAACACGAACACCTGGCGATAAAGTGACAATTTCTTGCCTCAAGAAATCGTTCATTTTGTGTCAAAAAGTGACAAAATTACTGAACATAAACGCTGGGCATAAATTCCTGAAAATCCGTGACGTATTCATGAAAATCAAAATTTCGTTTCTCTGTTCATCACAATGGAAGAAGATTGTGCCTTCCAAAGAAAAAAAAATATCCCGCTTCACAGTATTTCAATGAGTTACCGAGATTTGAAAAAGTCTTGACTGCACAGCAATAATGAATGTTTGAAGTTCACACGCCTTTTGTAGACGGAGAGAAATTTTCTAGAAAAATTCTAGTACGAGTACTGGAAAACATCACAATCCACCGGCTGTGAAAAAATCTAGTGCTGTTAAATTAAAATTTGTTATTCTAGTGCCGGCACTAGAATTTTCTCCTGGCCGTCACTTTGCGCCTCTCTTCCTGTTCTAAGCACTAGAATTTTTCTAAAAAATTTCTCTCCGTGTAAACGTTTTTCAAGCACTAAAAATCGTCTGAATAAAACGAAAATTTGTCTGAATTTCAAACATAAATTAAGATGATTAGGCATCTGTTCGTCTGAAATTCAGACTAATTTTCATTTTATTTAGACGTTTTTTAGTGTTTAAAAAATATCTACAAAAATTCCGTGTGAAATTCAGGCGTTCGTGTTTTATGTGTGTCTATTACCGAGGTTTGGTGATAGATTCCTAGAAATTAGAGGTGGTTAAAAATCAATGACGCGAAATTCGCGACAATAAAAGCTTTATTTTCTCTGCCCACGTTCGGGTCTTGCGAGTTTCGGTTGGATGAGGCACGCTGGGTTTGCTCTTTATTGACGTTGGGATATGTCGGAGTCCCGGAGGAGTATTTGACACATGCGTGTGCAGGATAATTGTCTCAGGTAATATTGTTGGTGTTTGGGGGGTTGTTGTCAACGGTTGTTACGTGGATTGTCGGTTTTTCAGGATTTTTAGGAGTTCAGTAACAACCCAGGCGCTTATCCCAAGCACGTTTCCCCTCAATTTCCTTAATTTTTAAGTGGTGACACAATACCCCTTATGTTCAAACAAAATGTTGCACAATTTACCAAAACCCTGGTGCAATGGTAAACTAAGATGAGTGCATTTTTTTCGATAATGAGTTTTTTGGTTAAATCGCTTCCACAAATAAACACGGAGAAAATTATTTGGTGAATTTCACCAAATAGTTGTTGAAAAAATGAATTGCCAATCAGTTATTGAATTTCGACAACTAATTGGTGAATTTCAACAACTAATTGCTTAATCTAACAACTAATTAATTAAAATTCAGAGAAAGACTTTTCAATTTCATTCGACAACCGTTTGTTGAATTTTCGATAAACGCTCGTCGATTTATTTGATGGATCAAATTTACCAAGAAATTGTAGATTATTGCGAAAATATCTTCTAGGGAAGACATTGATCGGCTGTCAAGACATAAATGATTGCGGGATTGTTTCCAAACGTATATATGCCCTCACCGTCTACCTTGTAGGAAAAATTAATTGAATTCATTGAATTAGAGATTCAAATATTGATGTAGTGGTTGCTTTTTATAGATTACCGTCGCTAAAAATTTTTGGTTGAAACTTTCCGTGAACTCCCTGGAATTTTGTTCTGACTGAAGTTTAACGTAATTTCATTATCAAGAGTTGGAAATTTTATGGGAAAATCAATGAAAAATGCAAATGGCAGTGTAAATATTCCATGAAAAGTAACAGAAAAATTACGTTAATCGAAAAATTAACAAATGGTTGTCAAATGAAATTGAAAAATCTTGTTCTGAATTTTAATTAATTCGTTGTTACATTTCACCAGCTAGTTGTTGAAATTCAACAACTGGTTAGTGCTTCATGTTTTCAACAACTAATAATAATTTTCTCCGTGAATGAGAAAAAAAGTCCGAAAATCTGCCCTTATCCTAGTTCAACAATTCCCACCAGAAAAATTATCGTTATTTAAAAAAATCGAAGGATATCAATCTGCAGAAGGCGATGATAGACCTCAATGTGTTTCGCTTCCAAAAACATCAACAACCTTCACCACGAAATTTGTCATAAAATCCCCCAATCTCACCATTTCCCGAAGCCCTCCACACCCTGAAAAATGTAAAGAGGAGTAGCTGTTGAGCCCCCGGAGTCCTCGTCCCCAAAGCCCGCCTCCCTCATTCCTTAACTAAATGAAGCCGCGCCGTTGTGCGTCGCCCGAATGTGTTTTCCGGCATAAAAAGCGTCTGAGGGTGTTGGTGATAAATTTAAGGGAAGCGTTGACACGAGGTAAAGGAAGAAAATGAAGGAGGCCCTTGGGTCGAGTCAACCTTCTGGTTTCACCGCGGTCCTCTCCTCCGGGAGAAGCCCCTCCCCCCCTCCCCCTTTTTTATTATTCTTTATTCCTAAGGAAGATGCGTCCCAAGCGTGAATCATCCCCCGGCCACGTAGCGAGCAACTGCCAAGATAAACGGACAATTCGCTTTGCCATTTCTAGTCGATATGGGCTTTGGCTACAGCCAGTGTAGCACACAAGACCGGAGAAAAGATGTTGCCGGGGGTATGGGGTCTTGCACGGGAATTTTCCAGAGCCGTAGCTGTAGCTCATCCCTACCCTTTTGACCACCCTTGTATGCCCTCGTTCACTTTGTCCCCCTGTGGCTTTTGGGCTTTGCTGGATTCTTCTCCCCTCTCACCCCAGCCCGTACGTACACTGAAAAGAGAGAGGGGCTGGGTGTACACCACGCGTCACTGCATCCCTTATCCCATCGATCGTGTGTGGCCGAGTCGTAATATTTCATGGTGAAATGGACATGACACATATCCTCCACCTCAGAGGAAAACTCCCGCGAGGAATGAAACACGAAAAAGATGAACATGATTCTTAAAAATACCTCAACATATTCGACGTCGCGTTTTAAATTCAACGGACTGCGATTTTATTTGGTGTTCAGTATCAACACTTGATGGGCTATTTACGAGGGAGGACGGTTACGTGATTTGGGGGCTGTGAATTTATTTTGACAGTCGCTGCAGTGATTTTTTTGTCTTTAACGGGTGTGTTGTGTAATTCTTTGGCGCTAAAGTCGGATCTTATTGGGTTTAGTAAATGCGTGTGTCATTTTAAAGTAGCTCTACCCTTCGGCCCGGCTACGCTGTGTGTGGAATTCAGACATTCGTTTTCGTTGCGTATAGTGAACGCCTTGGACATTTGATTTTAATCAGTTGGTCAATCTTTTTTTTTTCAGATACCAGGGACGAATATTTTTTTTCCAGAGGTTTTTGAAACTGGGATAGCCAAATTCATAATATTTAATTACAGTTAAATATTGTAGCCAGCAATGAGTCAACATCACTCTCAAATTTTTTGAATACTAAAGTATCATCAATTCAAATATTCAAATTTTCGACTGTTTTATCAATCGATAATTGAGGTAGGAAGATTGATGATTATTTGTGTAACCGAAAATCCCCTTTTAAGAAATTTGAATTATTCACTTAGTGGTAAATTTACAGTTTCGTACACTGATAGAACCGTTTAGTCGAACCAAACGCGAATTTTAAATATTACCAGAATTCGTGTAATTCTTTGGCGCTAAAGTCGGATCTTATTGGGTTTAATAAATGCGTGTGTCATTTTAAAGTAGCTCTACCCTTCGGCCGGGCTACGCTGTGTGTGGAATTCAGACATTCGTTTTCGCTGCGTGTAGTGAACGCCTTGGACATTTGATTTTAATCAGTTGGTCAATCTTTTTTTTTCAGATACCAGGGACGAATATTTTTCTTCCGGAGGTTTTCGAAACTGGGATAGCCAAATTCATAATATTTAATTACAGTTAAATATTGTAGCCAGCAATTGGTCAACATCACTCTCAAATTTTTTGAATACTAAAGTCTCATCAATTCAAATATTCAAATTTTCAACTATTTTATCAATCGATAATTGAGGTAGGGAGATTGATGATTATTTGTGTAACCGAAAATCCCCTTTTAAGAAATTTGAATTATTCACTTAGTGGTAAATTTACCGTTTCGTACACTGATAGAACCGTTTAGTCGAACCAAACGCGACTTTGTAACTATTACCAGAATTCGTTAACTATTAACGAATCGCGGTAACAGTTAAGAAGCCTCGTTTGGTGCAACTGAATCGTTCCACCTTTTCTATCAGTGTATTAACAAATGTTAAATACATCATTATTCGAAAAAATCAGATTATTAATATTATATTATTTGAAAAATTAGATCAACATATTACAAACGTTAAATTCTTGTAATATTACAGAAATTATATATTGATGGCGATCCCCGTTTTGAAATAAATTCGTCCTTTCGGTTTTTTTCCTGTTTTTTTATTCTCACTCTGGATTTCTGTGAAAAAATCATCAGCATCGGTGGCATGTGGCCGCTTCCGTCGGCGGATCGTCGATAAATAAAGCTTCTGGTGGGGGATTTAGAATTTTCAAACCGTCCCGCGACAGGAAACTTCGGAGGAACTCCACTAAGTGGCGCTCAGGATGTTCTTGCAGTATTACTCGTTTTATTATCCGGTAACATCCTTGTACTGGCGCGAGAGAGACCGGTATAGCAGTGTGTCGGTCTCGCGTCATCCCGCCACATCGAATTTCGCGGATAACGAGAGTCTCGAAAAAGACTCGTAAAAAATTTCATGAGGGATTTAATTATTTGATGATCGTAAAGGAGTCGAGGAAAATCCGGATGTATCTCGTTTTAGAGTAGATGAAGTGACGCTGAGTATCGACGTTTTCCCCGGGAGATGCTGTAACTGCGTTGGAGATCTCCTCTGACGTATCCGCTTCCCTAAAATCGAGATATTTTCTTCGTTCAGGTGAACAGCGGCTGCAGGACAGGTAAGGCAGAATATTGGACGAATTGAGAGGGATCTACGCTGTTGAAAATTACTCTTGAAATTTCAAGTGAAAAAGAAAACATTTTCAATTTATACCAACACTAAGTTACAGGAAATTTTTGTATATTTCTGCATTGACGCATCAGCTAATTTCTTGAGTATTTAAGTAATTCTCAATTTTCAGGGATACGGTACTGAAAAACATTGACAATTTTAAAAATTCAGGCAACAACTTTTCTGAATTTCAAGCTTTCATTGAAAAATCACTGATTGTTTAACACGAAGAACCCAACACGGAAAAAAAAACGAATTAAGTATAAAATATACTTGACTCAAGTATATTATTCTTAATTCCAGTATAAAATATACTTGATTTAAATATCCTTGAATTTATATTTTGAAAAATATATTTAAAAATATCTCAAATTGGCCCAATTTATATAAACAAAAAATATAAAGTTTATATATGTTTTTTACATATTCGTTATCAATTTGAAAAGTATATGGAATTGGCCCATATTATATATTCTTTTATATATTTTTTGATTGGGGCTTGAAAATTCAAGAAAATTCACGGAAAAAAATGTACTTGAATGGAGTATAAAATATACTTGATTTAAATATCCTTGAATCAAGTATATTTTATACTCAATTCAAGTACATTTTTTTCCGTGAATTTTCTTGAATTTTCAAGCCCCAATCAAAAAATATATTAAAAAATATATAATATGGGCCAATTCCATATACTGTTCAAATTTATAAAGAATATATAAAAAACATATATAAACTTTATATTTTTTGTCTATATAAATTGGGCCAATTTGAGATATTTTTAAATATGTTTTTCAAAATATAAATTTTTCCGTGTGAGAGATGAATGAGAAATTTTGTGACCCCTTTAATTTGAAATTGAATTCAAACTCACAAAATCGGAAATTCAGATGACGTTGTGACTACATTTCAAGAAATTTATAACAGTGTATGGACTCTGAGTCAGCGCGGAATAGCAGTTTAATGTATCTGCTTGTGCGACCTTGGAGCCAGGGTCTTGTTTGTTATCTGGCACGTGTTCATACTGTGGGATAGGTCGCGCTTCTTCGATAGGGGTCTAATGAACTTGTTGGGGATTGTAATTTGGGGAGTATTCATGTTGAAGAATCGGGTGAATTTATTTGATGAATAAATTTTCTTGAGAATATCCTGATTTGTTTCTCGATATCTCGTGGAGGAATCGAACATCGATCAACTGTAATTTGTTATTTTAGTTTTTGCAGATTCAGTCTAGACCAATTGAATGTTATATTATTGTGGTTTCGATGGATTATAGTAATATACTAGGACGGACGCGCGCTTATCTTTTACCTCATTCAGTTGTGAATTGCTTCCGTTTTGTGCTTCACATTTCAAATCTAGTTAATTAGTTTTCATGGATTCATAAATGCATTATGAAAATGAATAATGCGTAGGAAACAAGTGGGAAATGGCTTTCGTCACAAGATAGTCAATATGTTTTTGCAAAAACTCATCGCCCCAATGTTGGTTGCCAACATTGATCCAACGTTGGCAGTCAACATCGCCCCAACATTGGTAGACAACATTGTCGCGAAATCAGTAGCCAATATTGCTCCGACGTTGACAGCTAATATTGCTCAGGCGTTGACGCCCAATATTGCTCCGACGCTGGCAGCCAACATTGCCCCGACGTTGGCATCCAACATGGCCCCACTTTGACGTTGACATTGTTCCAACATTGGCAGCCAACATTGCCACAACGTAGCCAATATTTTTCCCACGTTGGCAGCCGACATTGCCCCAACGTAGCCAACATTGTTCCAATGTTGGCAGCCGGCATTGCCCCAACGTAGCCAACACTGTTCCAATGTCGGCAGCCGACATTGCCCCAACGCAGTCAACATTGGTTCAATGTTGGCTGCCAACATTGCCCCGACGTTGGCAGCCAACATTCCCCCAACATTGAACTCTTTCACCTTTCCCAGAATATTGGTTTCACAATAAATATTTTCAACAACAGATAATGTAATCAATCTCACGATCGAGCTCGGTCAAGATAGCATTGGAAGAATATTTAAAATGACAATTGGATTCATTTCAACAATTATTTTCTCACTTATCATCGAAAAACAACCGGCCCCATACATTCAGACGTGGTCTGAAAATAGCATATTCGCATTCCTGAAGCCAAAAATAATCACACGGACTCAAAAATGCGGAATTTCGAATTTCACGAACACAATGCTTTGTGGCGTAATATTTGAGTGCCCCTCAACTTCACGAACGGAGTGATCCTCAGAAATAAAGACCCGATCGCGTTGACTAAGCGGCCACTACAAGATAAAGCCCCCAGAACAGTATTACACTGTACACGTATGGGAGTGTCGCCGGCACCGTTCGCCAAGCGATTTTCTAGGCCTCGCGGGCCAGTCACCGTAACAGTTCTCCAGTGTATCTCGGTGAGTGTAGTAAACGAACAAGTACCAGGGCCGCGGTATCCCCGGCTGCAAACAGTATACAAACCGTCCACTTCGACTCAATCCGGCAGGTACGTGTGCCAGTCGTGCGTTATTCCGAGTGCAGTGTGGATCGTGCATCACCGATTTCTAAAATTAAAAAGATTAACACCTCCCGATTGCCCCTTTATCACTCCGCCCGTATGAATCATTGAATAACACTTGGATTAGTAGGGAAGTGCCCAGTGACTCGAGGATTAAAATCCAGAGCAAGAGGTGAGGATTAATTCGATAAATTCAACGAGAGCTGAAAAGTCGCATGAAAGAATAATGCGCTATCAATTCGCCGATTTAAAAGATCTCATCTCATCTTTATTTTTATCTGCATCTCCACTCTATCGACAGAACTTGTGACGTAATTCGGATGAACGTCAATTCTCGCGACTTATCAAGCGTTTTTCATTAACCCGGTGAAACGAAGAATTAAATTCGCGGGGTCTTGGTTCACTTTAGATGAGCATTTTTTTTATACAGAGAAATATTTTCTTCGGGCAAATGAAAACTTGGTTAATTTTGGACAGAAAATGTTGTTGAAATTGATGGAAAAAATTAAGATTAAGAGATTTCATATTTTCGTAGAAAATCGGTAATACGATTTAAGTCGACTTAGCTGACATCTCGAGGAATATCTTCGAATCCGAGGGAGATAGGAAAATTTTTGTTAATACCTTTTTTGTAGAGCGAATTAATAGCTATAAAAAAGGTTATGACAAACATTTTCCTATCTGCCTCAGATTCTAAGATATTCAATGAAAACTAACACATACTCAAAATCGACTTGAACCGTTTCACCGCTCGGTGGCTGTCAAATCAAATCATCAAATGAAATTATTCTATTTAAATCATCTCGACGCGGCTATCGAAAAAAAACTGATAACTCGGATGAACGTCAGTTCTCGCGACTTATCAAACGTCTTTCATTAACGGGGTTAAACAAGAGATAAAATTAATCGCGGGGTGCTGATTCATTTTACATTAGTATTTTTGTCAACAATATGGAAAATATTTCCTTGATGCAAATAATCCGTGATATGCAGACAGTAGACTAAATAATTTTCCCAAAGTATTCATTCGTTGAATACGAATTTCAGTCTAGATTAACGTACGAGATGTATCGATCTGTGGTTCCTCTTCTGAGACGGACACATTTATATAAACTACCTAATCTAGTCACTGTTGATTCTTAAATTGACTATTTAAAGACAAAAATACTTCTGTTTGATGAATCTAATGTTGAAACATTAAAATGGAAAAATACGAGGTATGAAACACCTTCCTGATATTTCTGAAATACAATTCTTCTCGGGGAGCTCAGATTGGAATTCCCCACATCAATTTTACTGGACTAAACGTAAATAAAAGATGAAATAAATAGATTTTTACTTTTTGTATGAATGTGTTCTCAACAATATTCGTATTTGTCGAACGAATTTGCAAATGATTTTAAGGATGATTTTCCAACTAGGGGAGACTCCTAGACTCCACTGGACAATGTTGGCCAGAGTTCAAAACCACACGGAGAGAAATGTTCAGTAAAAATAACGGAACTCACAATTCGCTCACGATTACGGAATCGACTCAGAAAATTTAAGTGATGGTATCGTAATTTATCACAGGCGATTCAGATAAAAATTACAGAACGCTCTGTAAAAATTCCGTGACAGTTCCGCAAAATTTCCTACAACCACATTTCACTCCGGAATTACGAAAAAGATACGTAATTTTTATTGAATATTTCTCTCCGTGCAGAGTTCATAGCAGAGATGTCAGACAAGATGTGAATGTTTGAGGCCCGGGTGCAAGAGCGGATCGCGAAATATAGTGCGGATGATTCTAAGAATGATTTTCCACCCCACGGAGTCTCCTTTTTTGTGACCCTTGTGACCCTTTCCATATATCCACGCTAAAAATTACCTTAAATTGACGTCAAAATTTCCCGCATATCTCCTAACATCAGCGAATTATTGTGAAGAGCTTTTTTATACAGCGAATTGAGAGCTACAAAAATTTTCTACCAAAAATTCTTCCATCTCCCTCAGATTCCGAGGGTTCCGTGACTTCGGATCGACGGGCAAAATTTCCCCGACAAAATAACCCCCAATAATATTCCCCGCACCGCCC